AAATATAGCAATACACAGAAAAGTGTTGACGCTTTGAAATCTTGCATTTACACAAATGAGTGAATTTTCTTTACAAATACAAATTCTGTTTTATTGTTAATTGAGATGTCGGTGCAACTTTTCACTTAATTATTTTTGTTTAACATATTTTAGTGCAAATCACACAAACGTACATCGTATTCTAAATCTAAATATACTAAGTGTATATGAAGATTTTTGTTTTTGTTTCTGTGAATTAGAATCCTTTAAATTGCCGCTTTTAAAAATTAAGCGTAACTTTACCAGTAAGAAAAGGAGAACAGAAAAAAAATATCACTGTTTGCCACATTCTAAATGAACAAAACAATAAAACAAAAAAAAAAAGAAAAAATTTTTTAGTATTTTTAGCGTTTATTTTTACATTTTGACGTTATTAAAGTTGTATGCGCGCGATAAAATTCGATTATTTTATGTCCTTAGGGCAATTTTATAGAAAAAAGAATTTTAAAACGAACCAGAAAAACTTAATAAAAGAAGAAATAAAATAAAGTTGGAGAAAAAGAAGTAAAAGAAGTCACAATTTCATGTATTTTCCTTAATGATTATCAAGTCAAGTTGGCAAAAATATTCTTTGTTTTCATAATAATTTAGTTTCTGTTTTCTCCTCTTATTTTTCTGTTTGGATCCTTTTGTGCAAAATCTTTTTGATTTCGCTAATTTTTTCCCTCTTTATTTCGCATACTTATATTACAAATTTATTGGTTATTTTTAGTATAAAATTTTAAATATTGATAAAATGAAATGGAAGTTAATTCAAATTTACAAAATCCACAAATTATTTACTACATTAACTTTTGATAATTGAATTTCGAATTTGATAATTGGAATTTTCGAACTCGGATTTCGAATAACGGAATTTCGAATTCGAATGTTCTTGTTGGTTCAAATTTAAGAAGTTTTGATATTAAGGGGGTACATTTGGTCTAATGTATGTTAAAACTTAATAATTTTAAAATTGAACAAAATTTTGTAATCGCATTTATTACTGAATAAAAACCGATTTGATTGTATTCTTCATTCGTTTTAGCTTTATTTATTATTCCGAATATATTCGAATTGTGAATGTATTTGAGAACACCGTAATAAATTTTCAGAAATATGAAATGAATATGTGAAATATTTTGTTCTCTGCAATCATGAATTTAGTTTTTTTTATATTCTTGCTCGATTTCTGGCCCAAGTTAGTCATGTTCTTTGTCATATGTTTTTGTACTGGTTAATTAATAATTGAACTTAATTTAATTTGACCGAATAATTTGATTTTAATTGCTGAACTAGGTAGCTTATAGATTTACTTGAATATTTTCGAAATTGAGTTAAAAAAGCCGACTTGTGTACCAATTATGCTAGTTATGCTAGCAGATATCACATAGTTGACATGTCCAACTATATAATATTTATCTATCCTCGTTAATCCTAAAATTCAAAACAGAAATTGAAAACTGTTTCTTATGCCGTTTCTTTTTTTTTCAAGCAATTCTTTCCTTTTGCTTCGCTTTTATGCTTATATCGTGGGAAAAGATTTTATGCGATATACAAAAATACAACAAAAAAAATAAATAAATTAAACGCGAGCAAAAAAAATATAAAATTTGCAACAATATTCTAAAAATGAGCATGATAAAATACGGTTTTGTGTATGTGTATTAGGGGTGATAAGGAGCCAACTATTTTTTGCTTTTAAAATAGAAGCAATTTTTTTATTCTTTTTCGTTAATTCCTTGTTTTGGTTTACTTCAGTTTTTAGAATTTTTATTTTGTTGCTCTTTTTAATGCGAGTTAATTTGCATCCAATCAGCAAATCAAGTCAATTTGTTTATATGGAATTTTTATTTTTAATGTTACGAGTACATATACACATATACATTATAAACAATGTATGTAAGTGTATGTACATATGTAGGCAAAAAATAATACCAAGTTATGTCATATAATAATTTTTATGTTATCTCTTAGGAGGTTATTTGTTGATTATTTAGCGTAAAATTAAGAGTTTAAATTATTTGAGGTTAAAATAATCAAGTTCATTATGCAAAATTACAATTTATGTGTACAAACAAAATATTTTGGGCGGGAAACTATTTTTATCTGGGTTAAAAATTTTCAAGATAAGAGCAAAATAAAGAAAAAAAGGAATTTTGAGCGGCACCTTTTTATGACATTATGACAATCTTATAATTGCTTTTAAATAAAATTAAAATCGTATGATAATTAATAATTTAGAGTTACTCGTATTTTAAGTTTATTTGTGAATAATTATACGCAAATTATGTATTTGATTGTGTAAATTTCGTAATATTTATTTAAATCTCAAATGTCAAAATAAAAACTCCGATTTGGGTTTTTGTCTGAGGCAGTAAAGCAATTAAAACAAATTGAGAAAGATGTGCTAAAAATTAATACTCTTAACGATTTGTGCAGTTATAAGAAACGCAATTAATCAATTTTTTTTGACGTTGAATGCAATGGATAAAGTAATTGTTCCAAAAAAATTTGATGTACTTAAACGGGAAACGCAATTAAGCGGGAAGCAGATAAAAGGGGAATATTGTATCCTATATGACATTTACGTCATTTTGAGCATGTTGTTCTGAAAAGTGAACATTTTATTAATTGCAAATTCTCATTAGATCAATTTACTTTAATTAAATTCACAATTAAAATATAAAGAAAATAACCATCTGTACAGCCTTATCATATTTCATATGGTAAGAAACCAAAAAACAAAAAACATTAAATTAAATGGCTGAAGAATAAGAATATTTTTCTAATGAAATTAAAGAAAAATATTTAAAATTAAAAAGTAAATGATCCGAAGATCATTTACACTTTTTTGAATACCTTAAAATTACGATTGGCTTCGGTGGACGTTATACTATAAAAAAATTTGTAAATTTTCTTGTTAAACTGTGTTACAAATTATAAAGGCCTACATCACATAAACTCTAAGCATATTAAATTTTATGTAAAAAAATGCTCTTCAAATCGAAAATTTTAACTTTTCATATTTAGCCAAATGGAAACGTGTTTGCTTGTTTGTAAAATTTAATTTTATTTTTATCTCATTTACCTCTCTGATGTCACGTTATAATAATAAAAAAAAAATTAATAAACCGTAGCATTTCAACATATTTTTTATTACAAAAGTACTTATGAAATTTTGTATATGTATAAGTGTAGAAGTTGATATTAATTTTAAAATCGAGTACATTTAGGTAAGTATTTAAATTTAGGTGTATAAAATAAAAACTCCTTCTGTAAATTCTAATAAAATGAATTTTTCAGAAATAAAAATTTATTGGTCAAATTTCGTAAGAATTTAATCATGAGAAATAATTTGATAAATAAACAAAATGACTTTATTGTGTAACATTCCTGATTAGATTATAGTTTGTTAAAATTTTTGTAAATTAATTACAAAATTTTTATTGTAGAAATTCATGATTCCCAAAATTAAAATTCCAATCTATGACAATAAATAATCATACAATTTTGGTTTGACCGTAAATTAAATGTGATTTAGTAAACAGAAATCCGGAACTTATGCGAACAAAATTATATTGGAGCAATGTTGTCAAAAAATTTAAATTTTGAATTTTGCTATTACGGCTTAGCCACAATACAAAACAATACAAACTCAATACAAAATACTTCTCCACATTTTTGTATACTCAACATATTTTCTCACCATATCGAGAGGTGAAAAAATATGAAATTGTGAGCGATAAGAAAATTTTCAATTGACATTTAAATTTATTTAATTACATAATAATCATAATAATTTTTTGATAACATTTTATTATAAAATATCAAAAGTAATGAATTTAGTTAATAACATTTTGATAAGAAAAATTTTTAGGCGCCATTTAAATATTATATATATACAAATATAGGTACATAAATACGATTATGTAGTGTATCTACTACTATATGTCAGTTTACACTCTAGGCATATCAATATCGAGAGGTGTACAATCATTTTCTTTCTTACTGATACCATATAGGCATATTGGCCTACCTTATTATGATTTTATAATCGATTAATGATTATTTTTAAAAATATTATGTTAATATTTTCAGGGATAGATTAGAAATATTAATATACTTATATACGGTTTATTTTTTGGAGGTTTTGAATGTAGAAATTTTTATTAAAAACTTATCATATACCATAAAATATCACTTGTGTGATTATAATTTAACTTTTAAATTTTAAATACGATACGGTATAAGGTGAATCAACGAATTTTCGAAAAAAAAAAATTTTAAAGACTTAACATTTTAACCATTTTATTAATTTGGAAATATATTGAAAAGTGTATAGATTACATTAGAAAATATGCAAGTTATAAATTCTGCTTTTATAAAAATTATACTAGAAGACAGTTTAGTTAAAATTTTCAATTAATTAAATAGATTAAAAACCTTCAACTTGGTAATTGTATAAACCAAATGAAAAGAAAATAATTTTTTTGCCATAGAATTTTACTTGTGTTCATTTTAAGAATATATATAACACTCCTAATTACTCGTATGACACTCCTAACAATGTGTATAACACTTCTAAATACACGTCAAACCTCCTTAACTATACGAATCTTAATAACGGGATAACTGAAGAGAGTATTTTTATATTTATTCTAGTATATATGCTTAGATATTCTTAGATAGCAAAAATAAATATGTCAAATAATAAATATTTTAGTTTTTAGAATAGTTTTTGGTTTCTAAAATATATCATAATTTTCATACAAAATATCATTGTCAGTTTGACAATAATTCTCTCAATTACCCCCAATTACACCTTCAATTTAAGTAGAATACAAGTAATATGAACCTTCAAATTTTGATAAGCAAAATTGAAAGTACTTAAATATTAATAAACTTAAATTCTAATTTAAATATTTGTAATTTAAATATTTATAATTCATAATTAATAAATACCAAAAAAAAAAACTTACCATTTTGTATTACTTGGATCGATACGTTCACCAACAACATGTTCAGCAACTGAATATCCAAAATATGTACTTTTATTACCATATTTAATAATTGGTAAACGATTTTCTAAATTAAAACCATTTACCATAAAAAATTGATTATTATTATTATTAAAAATATTATTATTATTTAAATAACAACTACTTATTATATAAAATATTAATAATGAATAAAAATGTGATAAATTTTTATTAAATAAGAAAAAATTATATTTTTTCTTTGTTTTTATAACTGATTTTTCATTTTTTAATAATAATTTATTAAAATGATTTTTTTGTTGAGTTCTATTCGATTTTTTCTTATACATTATGAATTTGTTTTGTTTATTTTTTCTCTTTGTTTTTTATTATTTAATTAATAATTTTATTTTAAAGTATTTAATATTTAATTTATTAAAAATTTTAATTATTTTATTAAATTTGTTTTATTGTTTTTATATAATTAATTAATTAAATATTTAGTATGAACACTTTTTTATTTTTATTAATTTTAATGCACATTTTGTGATTATATTCGAATTATTTTTTAAATATTAATTAAAAAAAAATTAATTTTATATTGGCCGCAGTTTCTTTTTTTTTTTAATTTACACTAAAATTTTAATTAAATTGTTTAAGTAATTTTTTTTCTATATTAACTGTTTAATTATTTAACTAGATTTTATATTGTTAAAATTAAAATTTTTGAATTCGTTGTCTTAATTAATTTATCAATTATTTGAACAATTTTACTTCAAATTTTTGTTAATTGGAGAGAAGATTTCGTTTATTGTTGAATAATGTCCTTGAAATTTTAACATTTTCATATTATATTTTAAATAATTATTTTTAGTTGCAATTTACAACAATTTTCTTTTAAATAAAAATTTTTGTAAAATTGAACTAGACTTATAAATAAACTAATAAAAATTTAATTTTTGTAACTTAAAAATTAATTTTTAATAAATATTAAATTTATTTTTTCAATATGACACTTTTGATTTTAATCAGAAAATATGGTTTGCTTTTCATTATTCTTAAAAAATTTTCTATATAAAAAATTTTCACTCAATCCTTATTCTTCTTTTTTTATTTAATTCTTTATTATCACTCTTATTTATTTAATTTTGGTTTTTTTTGCAATTTTCATCAGTTTTTTCTTAATTAAATAAATTTTGCAAGTATGTTATGTAGAATGTATAGGTAATTTTTTAAGGTGATTTTGTAATTTGGATTTTATATTAAATAATGAAAATTAATGGCTACATCTGTAAAAAAAATGTAAACTGTAACAATTTCACTTAAAACTATATCAATTTTTGTAAAACATTAAGGTTAGAACATTGTATTTTGTTTTCATAATAATTTTAATTTTAAAAATAACACTGTCTAAGCAAATTCATTTTAAAGCACTCCTTATCATACATAAGTAGTCATAAATTCATTTGAAATACAACCAACCAATTCAGTAGGGCCTTCAGCGCTTCTTAGTAATTTTGAAGAATTCTTAATTTAAACAGTTTGAATCAGCTCACCAGATGAAGAAATTTCACATAACTAGTCACATATACAGCTATATCAGGCTATTTCTGGAAAATTGTGCTTATTATTAATTTAATCTTATAATTAATATGAAATTATAGAAAATTGCATACGAACAGGCGAAAATTTGGTTCAACTTTTCAACACAATTACTCAATTTCTTGACAAACTTCGCTATTATTAAAATTTATTACTTATACCTATAAAAACAGAGTCTAAACGTGTACAGTAAAAAAAATATATTTTTTTTTCTTATTACTTATTTAAATTCACATTTTACATGCCAGATTGAATATATTGTGTTTATAAATAAAAACTCAGATTAATTTTAATATACTTATAATTTTATAAAAGATTTAATCTACCATTTAATCAGTTAAAATATAAATATCATGTCGAATTAATAGCAAAACAAATGACATAATTAATTACAGAATTTTATTTATAAATATATAAACTCGTATGTATGGTTGTAAAAGAATAATCATTTTCTATTAATAAAATTAAAAAAAAAACAAAGAAAACTGGTAATATTCTGAATGTAAATTTAAAAATTAAAAATTCAATATTGCACCTGCTTACTCATAGGTTCCTATATACTCGTAAGTGAAGAATAGGTGACAAATTTAATTATGACGTTAAATAATTAAAAGTTTGAAATGTTTAAAAGGCAGGTTCTTTTGCTCACTTTTCCGAATTGTCCGAATTCTATGTACCATAAAATTCTACCATACTTCAAACTCTAATATCAATAAAATCAATTTTTAGTTCTGGATTTGTAAAATTTACATTCGTTTGCGCAATATACCACATATTTCTGAACTAGATGCTACAAATTAATTACTACAATTTTTAAACATTTTTGAGAGAAATTACGATCTAATCACTTATTTCTCGAAGCCACTCTAATGCTATAAAGTTAGTTTCTTAATACCTTTGAAATTAAAACTCTTATATTTTCTTGTTAATTCGCGCTTATATTTAATAACATAGTCATTCAAAACCGTATAACATGTGAGTATAATGTAAGTTTGTATACGTAAATATACAGAATCATAAATTCTGATTAAAAACTACTGAATCATTTATTGCGTAAATTAATCATTTTTATTTGAAAATTTAGACATTGACCTTTATACAAAAAGCTTCAGTATACATTTTGTATCTATATATATTGACACATTTTTTGTATATATGTACATATACGAGTATTATTGCAGAACGGCAGCACACAAAGAAGTTGAGAAACACAAAAAGAAAAACTCAGAATAACTTTTTTTTTCTCATTTTTAATTTATTCATCTCTTTCTTTTTGATTGTACATAATATTTTTATATCTCTTTTGCGCTACTTAAAACCTCATTATGGGATCACAATTTATATATAAAGTTTAAAAAGTAAAACTTGGTATATAAATGCTTTATTTATACACACACTTACACACATTCATTTTAATAATAATAGTTAATAATATAACGAAAATAGTTTTTTTTTTATAAATCAGTTGATTTCTTATATTATTAAAAAGTTTGTCAGAAACAAAAAAAAAATACTGTTATAGACAATACCATTAACTATTATATTAATTTATAATTATTGACCTTCACCTGTACCACCTGTAAAATGTATAAATATAGCATATATATATACCACCGCGATTAAACCTCGCGTATATTCTTCTATAATTTATTCTCTATTATTATTCTTTTTATATTTTTCTTCTTATTTATTCACTATATTCCAAAATGTCTGTCTGTCTATGTTTTATATGGTATTATTTTATTCGCGTGTTGTTGTTTTTGATCGCGATTATAGCGTTCATTTTTCATATATTTGTAATTTCGGTTGCCTCCAATATTTTCTATCATAAATTTACGTTTATTTATTAAATTGAATACATAATAAAATGACTGATTTTCATTATTTCCGATATTTTAAAATTCAAAATTATTGTAAAAAAACAATAAATGCTTAAAAAGCAAAAAGAAACCGAAAAAAAAAAACATGAAATTTGCTATAAAATAAAAATACCTGTTTTTAGAATAGCCAGCCAGCCACCTAGCCTAATTTCCTATATATTAAATTTTTTTTTTATTTTTTTCTTGTGCTTTTTTTTTTATTTCTAATTTATTTCCAATTTTAAACAGTTTAAATCTATTATATACACACATACTGAAAATGAGATAAAATTGAACAAAATTCTGTTTTTAGTTACCGAAAGTACACATAGGTGCGCACATTGTAGAAAAACAAAAAAAAAATGCTCTCGGTACACTTATGGTTATTTTATTTACAAGCAAAAAAAAAGAATAATTTTTTTTTCTAAATATTTACTTGTATGTTTAAGAGCATCTTACGGGTATAAGAGAGTGGAGTAGAGCTTTTAAAGAAAAGAAAACAAAAACTTTTAATATTATAAATTGCTCATGTTATTTTTTTCTCTTTCATTGTTTTTTATATAATTAATAATTAGAATCAATTGAATCCAGGTGTTTTTTATTTGGTTTTGTTTCTCTTTTTTCGGTTAAAATGGAATTCATGTTTGAAAAAACTACCTACCCGGTGAGAAAATAGTTTACATCATCATCATTAGCATTAGAATTCGTTAAAGTTGAATTGAATGAATAACACTAATGGGTATTTTTAATTTAACATTTTAAGAAGCAAATATAAGCAAAAATTTTATACAAGAATGATTTTAATGATTGAATTTAAAATTATTGTTATATTGTACATGTTCTATATTATATCACTATTATTCTAAAAAGTTTTCGATGCTGAAACACATAACAAAATATAGATAATTTACTAGAAGAGTAATTACAAGCGAATAAGAATAATTGAAAAATTTGAGCAAGGCGTCATCTAGTGTGGAATCGTGTAGTGTTCCTGAAAGCGAGATTACCGTAATATCAAATGTATAATTAGAAAATTCAGCAATTAACACTTATTAGCTGAATTTTGTATTAATATGGTACTTATTGCTGCAAATATGATGTTCTAGATTTATATGATCATATATTGAACAAAATGCCATACTAGACCAAATTTATATAGAATTCGTATAGTTTTCTGAATCTGTTATCCTATATTATACAGCAACAAGAATACACTACATTGAATTATATTTAGTAAATTGGTAAGATCTGTATATGTAAAGTTACTTTAGTTTTATTCAGCAATACTTTAATTAAAATTCAGCAATTTTAATTTGCTGAATAAACTAGATTACAATTAATTTTGATATGACGTGAACATTCTATCATTATCGAGTATATAAACTTTATATTTAGATTATTCACTAACTAAAGATCTACATACATTGATAAGCAGGGCTTATTTACATTCACCTAAAAGTATGCAACAAATTTTTTTTTCAAATGTTAATATAATTCAAATTTCGACTAAAAAATATAGAGCAGAGTTTTTTTTTTAATTCGAGATTAAAATAGATTTTCTTTCATGTGTCTCACATCTTGTTCTAATATTTATATATATGCATACTCATATGTACGCGTATAGTAATTTATAATTATATATAAACAACAATAAGTGAAGCAAAACACCAGAAGAAAAAACTAAAAAATGCGATAAAAGAAATTTACCTTAATAATAAGTAAAACAAAAACAAAAAGTGTAAACTTTGTACACGTAGCTTATTTATAAGCGTAAAATAATAAATGTGTTCAAGTGTGTGTAATATTTATGTGTACCAAATTGTTTGTATATTTTAATATATGTACTTATATATCTAACTATTTAAAAACACAAAAGTATTAAATTTACTTAGTCTGTTTTTTTAATTTATTTTTAAACTATTCTTTATTTATGATTCGTTTTGAAAATATAAAATGAGCTTTTCTTTCTGTGTTTTTTGTGCGAAATGTAGAAAAAAATATATGAAACTGTTGACGTTATAGAAAATTAGGTACAAGTATAAAATATGTGTGTGCAAATGAGTAGAAAAATAGTGTTATTTACATACAAGCATTCTAAGCTCAAATGTGCAAAGTAAATAAGTGAGAACGTCAACAATATTA